TGGGTCATAAAACACAGCTTCCCAAATTTAAAAGAATAGAAACCATATAATGTTTCCTCTCAGATCACAAAGGAATGAAAGTAGAAATCGGTAACAGAAATAAAGCTGGAAAATCCTGAAAACTTGGAAATTAAACAACATACTTCTAAGTAACACATAGGTCAAAGAAGAAACCTCAAAATGAATTAAAGCATATATTGAATTAGATAAAAATGATAACACAAGCTATTAAACTTTGTGGGATGTAGCAAAAGCAGTGCATAGAGGGAAATTGAGTAAGCATTGAGCACATATATTAGAAAAGAAGAAAGCTCTAAAATCAATAATCTAAGTGTAAGAAACTAAAAAAAGATGAGCAAATTAAATCCACAGTAAGAAGAAACAAAGAAAATTACAACAGAGATCAATGAAATTGAAATAGGAAATCTATAGACAATATCAACAAAATCAAAAGCTGCTTAAAGAAAAGATCAAGAAAATCAATAAGCCTCTAGCCAGGCTAACTAAGAAAAAAAGAGAGAAAACACAAGTTACTAATATCAGAAATTAAAGAGGGGACATCAGTACAGATCTCATGGACATTAAAAATATAATAAAGGAATATTACGAACAACTCCATGCCCACAAATTTGATAACCTAAAACACATGTACCAATTCCTAGAAAGACACAATGTGCCAAAATTCATACGAGAAGAAATAGACAATGTGAGTATATCTATTAAACAACCTGAATCAATAATTATATCTATTAATAGAACCTGAATCAACAATTTATATTTATTAAAGAACCTGAATCAATAATTATTAATAATAACCTTCCAAAATAGAAAGCATTAAGCCCAGGCAGGTTCACTGCTAAATTCTATAAACATTTAAGAAAAAAATTATATCAATTCTCTACCATCTCTTCAAGAAGACAGAAGCAGGGGGAATACTTTCTAATTCATTCTATGAGGCCAGCATTACCCTAATACCAAACCCAAAGATATTACAAGAAAAGAAAACTACAGACCAATATCTCTCATGAACATAGATGCAAAACTCCTCAACAAAATATTAGCAAATCATGGCCGGGCGAGGTGGCTCACGCCTGTAATCCTAGCTCTCAGGGAGGCCAAGGCGGGCGGATTGCTCGAGGTCAGGAGTTTGAAACCAGCCTGAGCAAGAGCGAGACCCCGTCTCTACTAAAAATAGAAAGAAATTAATTGGCCAACTAATATATATATATAAAATTAGCCAGGCATGGTGGCACATGCCTGTAGTCCCAGCTACTCTGGAGGCTGAGGCAGAAGGATTGCTTGAGCCCAGGAGTTTGAGGTTGCTGTGAGCTAGGCTGACGCCACGGCACTCACTCTAGCCTGGGCAATAAGCAAGATTCTGTCTCAAAAAAAAAAAAAATTAGCAAATCAAATCCGACACTGTACAAAAGGAATTATACACCATGACCAAGTGGGATTTATCCCAGGTACACAAAGCAGGTTCAACATTCAAAAATCAATTAATATAATCTATCACATCAACAGGCTACAGAAGAAAAATCACACAATATTATTGGTAAGATGCAGAAAAAGCATTTGACAAAGTCCAACATATCATGATTAAAAAAAAACTCTTAGAAAACTAGGAATAAAGGGAAACTTCCTTAACTCAATAAAAAACATCTACAATCACCTAATATCAGAAATTAAAGAGGGGACATCAGTACATATCTCATGGACATTAAAAATATAATAAAGGAATATTATGAACATTCAGCTAACATCATAAACCTACAGCTAACATCATATTTAATGGTGAGAAACTTGAATCTTTCTCTTTATGATCAGTAACAGGGAAAAGGATGTCTCCTTTAACCACTGCTCTTACTATATGATCCAGCAATCATGCTCTTTAGTATTTACCCACATGAATTGAATATTATATCCATACAAAAACCTGCATATGGATGTTTATGGCAGCTTTACTCATAATTGTCAAAACTTGGAGCCAACCAAAATGTCCTTCAGTAGGTAAACAAATAAATAAACTGTGGTACACCCAGATGATGGAATATTACTCAATGATAAAAAGACATGAGCTATCAAACATGAAAAGACATGGAGAAAATTTAAATGCATATTACTAAGTATAAGAAGCCAATCTGAAAAGATTTGCATATTACATGATTCCAACTATGTGATATTCTGAAAAAAGCAAGACTATGGAGTCAATAAAAGATCAATGGTTTCCAAGGTCTGGGGAAGGGAGGCATTAACAGGGGAAGCACAGAGGGTTTTTTAGGAAATTGAAACTACTCTGTATGATACTACACTGGTGGATACATGTCATTATATATTTGTCCAAACCCACAGAATTTACAGCACCAAAAGTGAACCCTAATGTGAAGTATGGACTTTGGGTGACAATGATGTATCAATGTAAGTTCATCAGTTGTAACAAATGTACCACTCTGATACAGGATGTCAACAGTGGGGGAGCTTTGCATGTGTGGGGTGACAAGATGTATGTGGGAACTCTCTGTATTTTCCATTCTCTTTTGTTGTGAACCTAAAAATGCTCTAAAAAAATTAAGTTTATTGATTTTTTTTAAAAAGCACTATGACATTCAAATAGTGAAATACGCCTGATTAGACTTTCACGTCCCATATTTATAAAAATGTTGGTGATGTATTTCCTCAATGCAAATTATCTTTGGCTCTTATTTATCTTTATGAATATAATACAGTCCATAGGGGAAAAAAAAAGAAATAAAGAGAGCCCATCACTTTCATTGCCTTTTCTCTTGGCTTCTGAATTTGGCTGGCCTCTCCCAAAAGATAAGCTGAAGATTAAGAAAGTCTGTGTCACCTAAAAACTGCTGTCTCTCCCTCAATTCTCTGCCAATACAAAGGTTCTTCTTGCATAGACGGTATGAGAAAAGGAAAATAGTAAAAATTGCCTTGCTGACTTTGCAAATGCAGTTTACAAGCAGTAGCCACTGGTAAAGTTATTCTAAAATAATAGTTCTCAACCCTGGCTGCACATTGCAATAACCATAGGAGTTTAAAAAATATTGATATCTGCATCTCACCCACAGAGATTCTGGTTTAATTGGAATTGGATGTGTCCTAGGCGTGAAGGTTTTTTAAATCTACCAGATGACTAATGTATGGCCAGCGTTGAGAACTCTGCTCTAGTTTGGCATAGGGTTCTAAGCACCCATACATTGATCCTAAACATAGTTTCCTGGATAGATGGCTACTCACTGACAAGAAACGAATATCTCAGTTTGAGGGAAGCATTTTAGTAAAAATCCAAATAAGTGGATTCGCATTCAAGTTATGGCTTTAGTGCGGTAACAATAGTTACCCATAAGAGATGTAAAACTGGGGTAGAAGGATTCAATCATCATTAACACAAGGAATGAAAGAAAGGAAGAAACAAGTGTGTGAGCTCAACCAAGTGAGCTCAACCGGGAAGCTCTCCCACCAAAGTTGAGGGAGTTTTGTTTTTAGTTGAAAAAAGCTGACTCTTGGGAGTAGTGGGTAAAACAAGTGTCATCCTTTGTTCCAGAATTGAGAAGAATTCACAGTAAAATATCCATCATGTCTTATGGTGGTTGGGAAATGTTTATCCCATGGTGGCTTTTCAGAGAACAAAATTAAAATCAATACAATATTGATTTTCTTCTTTGTAAAATATATCACCAAATATTTGTATATGACTTTTAGATGCCAGAAGTATTAAAACAATAGAGTACATCTTCCTTCCTTGGTGAGAGGAGGGCAACGTAAGGTTACAGATGATCCCCTCCTCTGGTTCACTTTCCACATTGTGACAGAAAGAGCTTTCTTTTTTTTTTTTTTGAGACAGAGTCTTACTGTGTTGCCTGGGCTAGAGTGCCGTGGCATCAGCCTAGCTCACAGCAACCTCAAACTCCTGGGCTCAAGCAATCCTTCTGCCTCAGCCTCCCGAGTAGCTGGGACTACAGGCATGCGCCACCATGCCCGGCTAATTTTTCTATATATATTAGTTGGCCAATTAATTTCTTTCTATCTATAGTAGAGATGGGGTCTCGCTCTTGCTCAGGTTGGTTTCGAACTCCTGACCTCAAGCAATCTGCCTGCCTCGGCCTCCCAGAGTGCTAGGATTACAGGCGTGAGCCACCGTGCCCGGCCAGAAAGAGCTTTCTAAACTGCAACTCGATGCAGTCCCTCCTCTGCTTCACATTCTGTATGGGTTCTCCTTTTTCTTTATTTTCTTAGAGACAAGATCTTTCTATGTTGCTCAGGCTGGATTCGAACTCCTGGGCTCAAGCAATCCTCCCACCTTGGCCTCTTGAGTAGCTGGGACTACAGGCACGTGCCACCACGCCCACCACCTCTATCAGTTCTCCACTGCCTCCCTACAAGGCCTACATGCCCACTGCTCCAGCTTCCCCTCCCTCCATGCCCTTCCTACCACCCTGTGCTCCAGCATCACACAGCTCCTCAGACAGCCCTGCTGTGCCACACCTCTCAGCCTTTGTGCTGCTCCTTCTAACAGGATGGCCTTCTCCTATGTACCTCATGCTTCTCAGTTTTCGAGAAACTCACCACATCTTTCAACAGGTTCAGTGGAAAGTAATTTCAACTTTGAAGCTTTCCCTGACCTGTCCATATGCAATTGACTACTCCCTCCTCTGCCCACTCACTCCCAATAACATGGCACCTTTCACTTGATCACATTGACATGTTACCTGTCTACCTTTTCCCTCTAGACTCTGAGCCCTTTGATGGTAGAAACGGTATTTTAGCCATGTATATGCTCAGCACTTATAAGAGTGATTGGTATAAAGTAAGTTTTCTATAAGTGTATTTTATGAATTGAATTTAACTGAATGTATTGAATGTATTGCTCCATAAATTAATCTTCCATCCATTTCCCTCTCAACACATATACATGCCAGGAAAGAGGAAAGGGGAAAAAGTGGCCAGAGCTCTTGTGATAGTTCTATGATCAGTAGGTCTGTCTGTCTTACCATTGATGTTCTGTGCCCAGTGGCTGAAGGGAGAGGTGAGGGGCTGTTTTCCCGGTGCGGACAATCCAAGCAGGAGCTATTCTGAGTACCGGAGCTTCCTGAGTCACTGTGCAGCTGTCCCTTTTCAGACAGCAATCTGGACAGAAAGCTAGCCTTCCGACTGCCCGAGCGAGATCTGTCTATCCAGACCCCACTCTCTCTCATGCTGCCATCACTGTCCCTGTAGTGACTGTGCAGATCTGTGAGCTCCCCTGAGGGCTCCAGGTCCTGGGGCTGCTCCCAGGTACCTATTGCATAGGATGGACAGTTTTTAGGGGCTGTCATACCCAGCCAGGACTGGGACATTGCATTCTGTAGGCCAAAGGCAGACGGGTCTGGCTGCTGTCCCGGGTGCTGAATTCTAGAATTGCCAGTCCAAGGACATGGGCTATGAACATGGAGCTGTCCACTGTACTGAACCTTCTCAGCCCAGTCTTTTTTGCTACAGGAAGGGTCTACCTCAAGTTGCCTGGGCTGTGGGATTTGCCACATGGATTTAGACTTTGGCACATTGACTTGGATGACTTGCTGTTGATTGTTTGCTTGAAGTAGAGAGATTCTTTCTGGCAAGGAAGAGCAAATCATACACTGCTGGGCCACTGAATATTTCTTCACATGGAATGGAGAGACCCTTTCATTCTCAATGCCCTCATTGCTGGATTTTTTATGAAGTGTCCGCATGATTTTTCTGATGCCCAGATGAAATATTTCCAGTATATTGAGTAATAAGGAAATGGCTGCAATGCTGTGCATAAACAGCATGAAAATGGTCTTCTCTGTGGGCCTGGATACAAAGCAATCCACTGTATTGGGGCAAGGAGGCTGAGTGCATTTGTAAAGCGGATGCATTTGAAACCCATAGAGAATATATTGGCCTATCATGAACCCTACTTCCAGCACAGATCTGGTCAAGATGTGTAAGACGTAAGTACGCAGCAGACATCCTTTCAGAGGGACTTTATGGATCCTCTTCTGCTCGTCTAACCTCCTCAGTTCTCTATCTATCCTTTGTTGCTCCTCCAAGTCAAGCTCTGGATTCTCCATTTGGGCTCTAAGGTATGACTTTTTCCTCTGCCTCTCTTTCTCAAAGGCCCTGAGTCTATAAAGCGCATGGCCCATATAAACCAGAGAAGGAGAAGATACAAAGATGATCTGTAAAACCCAGAATCTGATCAAAGAGATAGGAAAAGCATCATCATAACAGATATTTCTGCAACCTGGCTGCTGAGTGTTGCAGGCAAATGCTGACTGTTCATCATCCCAGACACCCTCAGCAGCCACACGAAGTACCAGCATTCGGAAGATGAAGAGGATGGTCAGCCAGATTTTCCCCACAATGGTTGAGTGAGAGTGAACTTCCTCTAGGATGCCACCCAATAAGTTCCAATCCCCCATGGTTTAGAGACTAATGTCTGAAATATACAGAAAACACTGAGGTTAATAGCACCCATGGTTGTAATATATATAAAGACATAGGCTCACAGACACAGCAGGTTTTTTTTTTTGTTTTTTTTTTTTTTTTTTGAGACAGAGTTGCACTCTGTCACCCTGGCTAAAGTGCAGTGGCATCATCATAGCTCCCTGCAACCTCAAACTCCAGGGCTCAAGTGATCCTACTGCCTCAGCCTCCCGAGTAGCTGGGACTACAGGTGTGCACCAACATACCTGGCTAATTTTTCTATTTTTAGTACAGACAGGGTCTTGCTCTTGCTCAGGCTGGTCTCTAACTACTGAGCTCAAGTGATGCTCCCACCTCAACCTCCCAGAGTGCTAGGATTACAGGCAGGAGTCACTGTGCCCGGCCAAGTTCCTTTTTTATGTCAGCAAAACTATGAAGGATTTTCCAGCCCTAATATTTATGGCCCATGATTGATGAAATAGGATGTTTCCAAGGATATTAGTTTTTGAAAAAACACTAAGGACCCTCCGCAATCTGACCCAATTTACTTCCTATCCTCTTCTCTCCCACACACAGCTTCCTGTCATTCCAGCATTATAGTTGAACCCCATATTTACACAATGCATTCCCGTTCCACAATTTTACACGTTTTTCTACTCATATAAGATACCCCATTTAGCATATGCCTGACATGATCTTAAATAACTTTCAACTTCTCAGAAAATTTTGCCTAACCATCCCAAGTCAGAGCTGTTTTTCCCTTTCCTTAATTCTCACACTATTGTTAATACCACTCATTTGGCACTGTGCCTAAAAAAGTTTTTATTTTTATTTTTTTTGAGACAGAGTCTCACTTTGTTGCCCAGGCTAGAGTAAGTGCCGTGGCATCAGCCTGGCTCACAGCAACCTCAAACTCCTGGGCTCAAGCAATCCTACTGCCTCAGCCTCCAGAGTAGCTGGGACTACAGGCATGCGCCACCATGCCCGGCTAATTTTTTGTATATATATTTTTAGTTGGTCAATCAATTTATTTCTATTTTTGGTAGAGACGGGGTCTCGCTCAGGCTGGTTTCGAACTCCTGACCTTGAGCAATCCGCCCGCCTCGGCCTCCCAAAGTGCTAGGATTACAGGCGTGAGCCACCACGCCCGGCTAAAAAAGTTTTTTGATGATTTTGTCTTCTGTCCCCACTCCTGGAAAGGTACATCCCTTGCAGACAGAGATTCTTTCTATAGCATCGTGGTCTCTGCACACAGAAGCCAGCAATATGTAATAGTGGATTGAATTGTCTTTTCATTTTAAAATTTAGTTCCTTGACCCTATCACTAAAATAACCATCAACAGGGAAAACAAAGTAGATTCTTTTCATATATTATCCATAGCTTTCACTGCAAGACAAAGTATAAATAAAAACATAAATTAGGCAAATAAACCTTCAGGAATGGGCTGGCTGTAAGGTATTCTGTACCTTCAGGATACCAGTAAAGATTAGGCAAACACAGAAACAGTGCCAGCAGTAACACATGATTACATGTACTAAGCCACATCGAGAACATCATGTTTTCATGGAATTTTTGCTAACTTAGAAGAAAATTGAATATAAACTGCTTCTCTAGCAAGTTTGGGGTCTGAGATAGAATCAAGACATAGCAGACATCAACAGGTTACTTCGTTTATTCTGAAAAACTAATGTTTTTCAAGGTTCAGTAAGGTTGGAATAGTTAGTAGATTAAAGCCTTCTGTGATATGGAAGACTTCCACATAAGAAAGATATAGAGGAAAAACAGGAAAATATTTTTAAGTTAAAATAGATAATGAAACTATTTTCTCCTTCCACAATTCATTCATTCAATAATATTTACTATAATCTTACTTGACATTGTGCTAGATGCCAGGAATTCAACAGCAAACAAGTTCTCACAGTACTTGATCACTAAGGACTCCCAATAACTTATAAAATGGATTAAGATTGAAAACACAAAGATGAATATCAACCAAAAAAATACAAGAGAAAAAACATGGAATCCATAGATTTATTCCTATTTATTTCCAAACACAAAAATAAATTCCAGATGAAATGAAGTATTAAATGTAAAAAGATAATCCATAAAAGTATTAAAATAAAATATAAAAGAATGTTTTATAATCTCTAAGTAAACAAATCTTTTTTAAGTACATCAATGACAGAAATTACAATTAGGAAACAAATACAGATTTTACCCAGCAAAACTAAATGGCAAAAGTAGATGTGTGCAGAAGGCATTTGGGTCTAGAGAACAAAACAAAACAAAAAAAGAAATGGTTGCTGGGCACAGTGACTCACGCCTTTAATCATAGCACTCTGGGAGGCTGAGGCAGGAGAATCGCTTAAGGTCAGGAGTTCGAGACCAGCCTGAGGAAGAACAAGTCTCTATCTCTACTAAAAATTAGAAAGAAACTAGATGAACAACTAAAAATGTATAGAAAAAATTAGCTGGGCATGATGGTACATGCCTGTAGTTCCAGCTACTTTGGAGACTGAGGCAAAATGATTGCTTGAGCCCAGGAGTTTGAGGTTGCTATGAGCTAAGCTGACACCACAGCACTCCAGCCTGGGCAATAGAGTGAGACTCTGTCTCAAAAAAAAAAAAAAAAAAAAAAATGAAATAGTGCAAATAGGAGATAAACATCTGCGAATAATCACTGAATAAGTAGAGGAGATCATGCAATAAAAAAAAAAGTGAGGCAATGACAGAACCCTGAGAAATTGCATAGGAAAAGTCTACAAATAAAAATGGGAAATGGCCAAATAGAGGGAGAAGGAAAACCATAAGAGGTGGTGTCACTGAAATCAAAGCCAGAAAGTTTCAAGAAGGGGATAGTTGACAATACCAAACATACACACACACACACACACACACACACACACACACACACACACACACACATCCCGCTATTTAATACATTTAATGGTGACATGCCATGCTCAGGGATTGGAAAACTCAATATTGTAAAGATGTCAATTCTCCCTAAATTAATCAATCCATAGATTCAATGTGAGACTATAAATCACTGAGTAAAATATGACCCTATAAATGTACATATATGTGTCTGCACGTGTATACAAGATGTATATGTATGTGACTACATTGAGCATGGAGAAAAAATGCAACAGGACATATGGTCCTATATGTGGACATACATCAGAAAGTTTATAGAGATTACCTGAGGTCTGTCAAAGGTAATGAGGGTGGAGGAGGAGTTTGGAGGGAGGAGAGGCAAAAAAGACAAAGGAAAAGGAAAAAAGACTTCTAAGAAAGCATGACTGATTTTTATCCAATGTATACATTTATGTAAATTTTTATCTGTATGTTTATATATGAATAAAGAATTTTTTAATAAAATTGACAAAATGGTAGATGCCTCTCAGAATTTAGAAGAGGTATTAATGAGACTTTTATATTTTACTCTATATACTTGTGAATTGTTTGAAATTCAAAAATTAAGAATGTAGTCATATATATCACTTCCAAATTAAAAATTAGATCTTAAAATTCTGGATGTATACCTCATTAACCAAAGCAATAATTTACTAAGTTCTATCCTGTCTTAAAGAATTTAGGTCTTTTCCCATAATTATTCCTTTAAAGATTTCTGGCCATCATTCCTTATTCAAAAAAGATTCCTTTAGCACTGAAAAACTAGAGCTTCTATTTTATATAAAAATGCTAAGGTGGGAAAGCTAACTAATTTCAATTAATTAATTCTCTATTTGGCAATCCTAAACTATATAATGCTTCTTTTGCCACTATCTCTTTCAAACACAGAAATTATTGTTTTTAAGTAGCAAGTAAAGCAAAACTGGGCCTATATGAAAAACTGAAATACAATCTTACATATTGGAATGCAAGAGAAGTTCCTTTAGACAAGCAGTCCTATGTTTCCTAAAACTAACAACTTTTTACTACTAAATGAGTACAGGTCCAAAAAATATTCATGAATTTTCTTTTATCACAATACTAATTTAGCATCTCCTATGTAAAAAGTTGTTGGTCTTTTTCTGAATTTTATTTCAGATCTTATCTTTCTCCCCCACACGGATTTTCTATATACTTATTATAAGCAAGAACATCATATTTATCACTTACCTTATGGGTAGAGAAAAATATCACAATTGGGTTCGCCGAAACTTAAAGATGCCCCATGTACAGCTAATGAGTGGAACAACTGCCGGTGGTTGCAAATTTAAAGGCTCTGATCAGGTGGCACTGGGGCCCTAATCCAGAATGAGCACAGTTATTTTGATCAGTGGAGTCTAACCAAGTCTTCTCCTAAGGTTCAAAATGTCTTTTGGTGCTCTGCAATTTTCTTGTAGTATTTTTTTCTAATTGACACCAAGCTGGGACCTCTCCTGGTATATCATATTTGGAAATAAAAAGTGAAACCAATAAAAATTTTCCTTTTTCATTTGTGAATGATTACAGTGATTTGAGTTTGGGTACATTTCTTTTAGTCCCTTGATTGCTCTGGGAATCAATGCTCACAGATCAATGAGTCATGTCCGATTTCATAAACAGCTGCCTAGGGGTGAGTCTGGCCTCATCAAATGTGAACAAACTATAATGGAGTGACAATCAAACCCAAAGTGTTCTTGCAAATCATGCCATGCTGAAAGAAGAAACATCTGAAAAAGAGAATAAACATTTTAAACCACTGTGCCTGTCTGTAGATTATGCATTCTAGCAATATTCTTTTTTTTTTTTTTAAGAAATGGGATCTCACTACTTTGCCCAGGCTGGACTGGAACTCCTAGGCTCAAACGATGCTCCCACCTCAGACTCTTGAGCAGCTGAGACTACAGGCCTGTGCCACTGTATCCCGCTTGATCTAGCAATATTCTATAAGGCTGAAACACAGCTCAGGAAGATACTTTTGCTTTTTTAATAGAGAATCTGAAATCCAGTATTAGGCTTAGAAAGCTAGGTCTGATTTTTGTAGAGAAAGAATCAGAATTCCAGAAAAGTCAAATGACTTGCCCGATGCAGACAGACTAGGTCTCCTAACTCCAAGTGTGTAGCATCTTTCACTAGTCACATCTCAAGTACATAACCTTATTGCCATCTTAAAGGAGTTAACAGCAAGGGTATCACTAGAATCCAGTGATGGCTTTAAATCACAGCTCCTAGGCACATTTCTAAGCCTCCTCTTTTCCCTGCAAAATGTAGAAGTGCATAAAATTATGGATAATTCATAAGCATCAGCTGCATATTCTATTTTTGGTCACTTAGTTTTAAAGAAAGGATAATAAAAGGTAGTGAGGTGACATTAAACTTCCACTAGCCTGGCACACTAATCCCAAGTACAAATTGACGATCAGAATAAACTAGAGGCAAAAACATATGATATATTAATATGAGCATATGTACAGTGTTGGGTATACTGTCCAAGAAAGCCCTTGATATTTAATACCTTTAAATGCATTTTACCAGAGTTAGAATATTAAACATTGATAAGTAAAGGATGCATATGTAATCTCTAAGGTAAATACAGAGGACAGTAAATAGATGGAGAATTGAATTAAAAATAACCAATCCAAAAGAAATTAAGAAAGGGAGTAGTGGAAACACAGAGCACAAAGGACATATAGAGGAAAGAGTAGGATGGAAGATATAAATCCCTCTGCAAAAAAGCAATCCATCATCCTTGGGGCAATTGCAGAGGTTAGTGCTTCTATTAAAGACTTGAAAGGTACAGAGGGGTACTACCTACCTCATTCCCTGTCCAGAAAGGAAATACCAGACCTTAGAAAATGAGGACCTTAATCATACAGTGAAACCAATTGCAGTTCCAGTTCCAGATGTGGTATCTTTAATGGAGCAAATCAACTTAGTCTTGTTACATGGTATGCAGCCATTAACATGGCAAATGTTTTTTTCTGTTTTTTGTTGTTTTTTTTAAGTTTTTAAGTTTATTCATCCTCTTGTGAAAAATCCACACAATGGCTGCAGATAACGTCATTGCAGAATCTTTTTCCTTCAGCTTTTTGCCAGCACCAACATTGGCCTTTGCAGTCCCCTTGACTTTTTTCATTCTGTTCTTGAGTTCCTTTCGCTATATCCTTGATGTCTTTTTCTCCTTGTATAGCCCATCCCTTGCAAGTCTATGTTTGGGTTAATTTTTCTTTGCATAAACCAAGGAATCATAAATCATGCCAAAGCCAATTTGTCTTGCCACCACCAAGTGAGTTCTGAATCCAAATACAAAGATGACATTTGGTGTAGTCTTGTACATTTTGGCTAGATTTTCCCTAATTTCTGTCCTTGGTACTGTTGCCTTCCCAGGGTAAAGGATGCTGATGCCCATTTGTTTCCTCTGAAGTATCAATTGGTCATGAACTTCCTGGTCCAGATAGTTACTGTGTCGTTCATGATGGAAATTGATCCTCAAACAGCTAGGAAGGAAAAGAGCATTTTTCTGTCTATCAATTTACAAATATCAGGCCATGCTCAGTGGCTCACGCCTGTAATCCTAGCACTTTGAGAGGCTGAGCCGGGTGGATCACTCAAGGTCAGGAGTTCGAAACCAGCATGAGCAATAGTGAGACCCGTCTCTACTAAAAATAGAAAGAAATTAATTGGCCAATAAAAATATATAGAAAAAATTAGCCGGGCATGGTGGTGTATACCTGTAGCCCCAGCTACTCAGGAGGCTGAGGCAGGAGGATTGCTTGAGCCCAGGAGTCTAAGGTTGCTATGAGCTAGGCTGATGCCACAGCACTCAAGCCCAGGCAACAGAGTGAGACTCTGTCTCAAAAAATAAATAAATAAATAAATAAAGTAAAAAAAATTAAAAAAAAAAAACTATACAAATATTATCAGAAGCAGTTTCCTTTTAAAAAAAAAGTGAATTAGGTTGTATTGACATAAATTTCAAAAATATTCTGACTGAATTAAGGAAATCACAAAACAATACATACATTGGAATACTAGATTTAAAACTCTAAAACAATCCTGTATGTTTATAGAAATATATATATTATGGAAAAAAATATATATATAATATTATGAGCTTCCTTGCACTGAGCAGCCCTGACATCTGAGAATAGATCCTTTCATGATTTCTATAAGGCCCTCAAGTGTTAGAATGCTTGCTGCCAACCCCCAACAATTTGCTTTTATCTGGCAGGGTCAACAATACATCTTTCACCATCTTACCTGAGGGCATCTTACCTGAGAGCTACATCAATTTTCCTGTTCTCAGCCATAATCTAATCCACAGAGGTCTAGATAATCTTTTATTTTTTTTTTTGAGACAGAGTCTCCCTCTGTTGCCCAGGCTAGAGTGCCGAGGCATCACCCTAGCTCACAGCAACCTCAATCTCCTGGGCTCAAGCTATCCTCAGCCTCCTGAGTAGCTGGGACTACAGGCGTGCACCACCATGCCTGGCTAATTTTTTCTATATATATTTTTAGTTGTCCAGCTAATTTCTTTCTATTTTTAGTAGAGACAGGGTCTCACTCTTTGCTCAGGCTGGTCTCAAACCTCTGAGCTCAAATGATCCACCCACCTCGGCCTCCCAGAGTGCTAGGATTACAGGCGTGAGCCACAGCACCCAGCCTACTTAGGAATAAATATAACCAAGGAGATGAATGACAGGTACACTGAAAACTATAAAATACTGATGAAAGAAATTGAAGAAATCACTTCTTATCCTTTTGGCTAAGACCAAGTATAAAGAAATTAAAGAAGATACAAATAAATGAAAAGATTCCACATTCATGATTAGAAAAATTAATATTGTTAAAATGTATATACTACCCAAAGCAATCTGCAATGCAATGCCTACCCAAATTCCAATGTAATTTTTCACAAAAATAGAAAAAACATTGAGTTCAAGTGGCAGCAAAAAATAAATAAATAAATTAGAAAAAACAAACTAAAACTCATGTGGAACCACGAAGACCCCAAACAGCCAAGGCAATCTTGAGCAAAGAAAAACAAAGCTGGAATACCCCACTACCTGACTTCAAAATCTACTACAAAGCTATAGTAATAATCAAATAGCATAGTAATGGCATAAAAGTAGACACATTGGGATCCACTTGCTCAAGGCTTCTTGGGAGTGGCTCCCGGTCATGGTCCTCATATTTGGCTCAGAATAAATCTCTTTAAAATTAAAAAAAAAAACAACAACATAAAAGTAGATACATTAACCAATGGAAGATAATAGACAACCCAGAAGTCAACCCATGCATATATGGTCAGTTGATTTTCGACAAATGTAACAAGAACACACAATGAATAAAGGACAGTCTCTTCAATAAATGGTATTGGGAAAACTGTATATCCACATGCAGAAGAATGCAATTAGACTCTATTTCACATCACATACAAAAATCAATTCAAAATGGATTAAAGACTTAGGTGGAAGATCTGAAACTGCAAAACTGCTAGAAGAAAACATAAGGGAAAGCTTACCTGACATTGGGCATTGAATTGTTCGGATTTGACCCCCAAAGCACAGGCAACAAAAGCAAAAATAGACAAATGTGATTGCATCAAACTAAAAAGCTTCTACACAGCAAAAGAAACAATAAAAAGAGTAAAGAAATAACCTACACATTCAGAGAAAATATATGCAAAATCTGATAAGGAGTTAATATCTAAAATATATAATGAACTCAACTCAATAGCAGAAAACAAATAACCTAATTTAAAAATGGGTACAAGACCTGAAAAAACTTCTCAAAAGACAACATACATCCTGAATCATGTCGTGGTGAAAAAAAAAAAAAAAAGAAAAAAAAAAAGACAACATACAAATGGTCAACAAATATATTTTTAAAATGCTCATCACTAATCATTAGGGAAATGCAAATTAAGACCAAAATGAGATATATCACCTTACACCTGTCAGAACAACTATTATGTAAAAGGCAAAACATAACAAGTGTTGGAGGGGACAGAGAGAAAAGGGAACACTGTGGTGAGAATGTAAATTAGTACAGCCATTATGGAAAACTGTATGGAGTATCCTCAAAAAACTAAAAATAGAACTACCATATTATCCAGCAAGTCTATTTCTGAGTATATATATCAAGTAATTTGAAATCACTATGTTGAAGAGATAGCTGTATTCCTATGTTCATTGCAGCACTATTCACAATAGCCAAGATATGGAATCAACCTAAGTCTCCATTAACA